AAATTGAATTACACCAATAGCTTCAGGATGTTCCTATTAACACAAATCAACCCAAAAAATAGATTAAAAGTGCATGAATAATGATATGCAATTATGGAAAAATATGCAAACCGTGGAACTTGTTGTGGATGATTCTTTGAGTGTTAGGACTCGTTCTTGGTTGCAAATTGTTTCTGGAGACTTATGCAAGGTGTTTGAATCAAGAAAAGGCTTTGAATTCGCCTGGAAGATTGATTTCAGTTTTGAGTTTTTTCTTGACTTTTTGCAATTTGGTTATGGTGTTCTCAGCAGCTTTTGCACGTTCTTATGAATAGGGTTAGGTTTCTTGCATATATGGGAAGGGAATTAGGTCAACTTTAGGCCCAAAAATCCATTGCATTCATGTTTCATTATGTGATTGCCAATCAAATCTTTTTCAACCTTTTTCTTTGATAAAACCTTGCCAATCAAGGAGATTTTGATGTCCTTGATGTGTACACGAATTGCCAGTTTTCCCTGATCTCATTTGTCTCATAAAAAGATTTGAAAACCATGTTTTGATATTTTCCTACAATTAAATTAATTAAATGAATTATTAATCAATTAAAAATCCAAATAATTAATAAAAATAATAAAATAATTCAAATTAATCTTAATGGGTCGTGCATAAGCCTTGGGTAAAGATTCAAGAAAGAATTTGAGGCCCATTAGCAAAAATGAAGTGTTTTGGGCAAAGTTGACTTTTGCAAATTCCCAAAAATTTCCCAACTTCTCCAATGCATATCTTGCTCAATTTTGAAGCTATGAACATGTTCTTGGACATTTTGGAAAGGTCTTGAAGTCCTCTAACCAATGCCTTTGGTCCCATGTCATTTTGATTCACCAATCTCAAGTTATGGTCTTTGACTTAAAGTGTCTTTTTGTTGACTTTTGAAAATGACCTATAATGTAGAAATTGATAACTTTTTGTGAGAGCATTTCTTGGACTTGGAGTGTGAAGATGAGTTGTAGGAAATGTTATCCCCTTCAAAATGAGCATCGGATGAGATTTTTCTGATAAACCATGAAAACGTTATGCCTTGGTCAAGTTACAGTTGACTTTTCAACTGTCCAAAAATAGCAACTTTTTGCATCTTGATGATTTTTGAGCCATGCTTGTGGAATCATGATCAAGACATGATCAAATGATGATTGTGGCTTCAAAATAAGATGTTGACCAAAAATTTTGACTTTTGACTGCCAAATGACCATTTTGCCCCTGTAGTTGACTGTGAAGCAATTAGGGCTTTTGACTATGCAATTTGATGCTGTGAGCCTTGAAATTTGACATGTAGATGCTTGACAATGTATATAGGCATATGGGACTTGATTGGACCCTTGAAAACCTCAACTTCCTTGCAAGAACCAAAACCCTAATTTTGACTGTGTCAGGAGGCAATTGGACTGTGCAACCCTTGAGAGATTTTGAACCATTTGGAGATTGATCTTGACAAATCTTGAAGAATATGGGAGGACAAATTTTGGGGTGCAACAGAAGTCATGAGTGCGTGGGTTCAAAATCCACCCCATGCAACCTTTTTTTTATTTTCTCTTTTAACCTAATTTGCTTTAATTTTCTTTTTTTAACCCTAATTTTTTAATTAATCAGTCATTAAACTAACCTAACTTTTTTCTTCTTAATATTAATAAATTAGGTTTAGGCTTTTTAAAAATTCAAATTTCCTAATTAATTAATCAACCCTTTTCTTAAATATTAAAATCAATTAGAATTTAGGTTTTAATTATTATCATCATTCAAATTATTTTTCACAAAAAAAAAAAATACAAAAGCATTCAAACATTTTTCTAATATTTTCTTATTTCTTTAGCTATTTATTTTCTTAGAGAAAATTGTATAGGTCGCACAACTTTTTCTTGTAATACCGTAGATTTACATTCTGGTATTTTTACCTATTATGTAACTACTCACAAGATGAATAGTTTAGGTTTAAATTCCACACCTTACTTTCCCGCATTTTCTTATGTAACTGCCGCAAAGCCTTGTAATAGCGTAGGGTTTACTTTTCGCACCTTTAATTTTCTGTATATATTTGACTGCTAGTAATTAGGGTTTGTATGACAAGACTAAAATCAATCGATAGAAAATTCTAATTCTCAATATAAACATAACTGAACTGAACACACTTTTCACACTCGCACATCTAGGGTAACCTTTCTTCATTGCCTTCGAAAATAATGGCCATGTCCTTCAAAAGTGGGGATACTTTAGCAAAAGACCCTCAAATAAAGATCATAATCCCTCGATGACCCTTCGATGTTGCCTACGAAAAATGATCTAGTCCCTCCGATACAATTGTTAAAGTACCCATACGTATTGTCTTCGATGACCATACGCATGTCCATTCACATCCAATAGATAGGACTACCTACCAACTAATGGTATAGATAACAATATCTCTAACAAAGAAGGAAAAGAATAAGAACGGCCTTTAGTGGGTAAGGAACTTTTAATCGCTTGCTCACAACCTTTTTCACAAACAAAATATTTTTACACATCACACTTTCAAACAAATATTTTCAAACACTTTGTACGCATTCTTTAGGATTGATACAAGAATCATTACAAAATCAGTCTTACATTGGCAATTTCAAAATACTTTCAAATAAATCACACACACAAAGCAAATTTCAAAAAGTAAGCTAGCGATTAAGAGCCTGTAGATAACTACAGATGAAAATTGTGTAACACCTCCCCTTTTCATAACTTATCCCCCGAACTCAAATCTATCAAGGTCTTTCTTGTTTTTTTCACCTTTCTTAAATATTGGATAAAAGGAAAGTCGGTGGCGACTCTAGCTATCTGCATATTTTGGATAAAACCAAAAAAGTCAATTCTTCCACTGTATTACACATTGAATCTCATTTTCATGATGCCCCTATTATCATCACTCCCTTCTTCATTTTTGTTGCTATTGGATGTGAAAACATTTGATTCATTGTCGAAGAGGCAAAACTTCGATATCCCTTTGCTGATGAACTTGTTTCTCTGCACGACACTTCGTCCAGATATGAGCCTATCAATCCTGAAAATCTTCTTCTCATCCCCAGATTTTGGTATAAGCTTATGTTAACAAACTTTAATCCTCGAGAAATCTTTAAAAATATACTCACTCCTGATGATCGAATTTTCCTCGCACTTTTGTTAAATTAAATCCGGATTAATCTACCTCAAGTTATCTTTAACTTTCTGCAAAAATCCATTAACTCCTCTAGAGGTGAGAACAAGTCCTTCATACCTTTTGAAAGAGTTCTTTCTGAAGTCTTTGTTAAAGCAGGGATTGTTGAATTTATCCGGTGAAATGAATCAGGAAATGCTCTTTTGAAAATTTCTTGTAACGTCTTTGAAGGGTAATAAGAAGTTTTAAGGTCTCCTATAATGTATTTGTGTCTCATCTATGTGTATCATGTATGTACTTCTGTGATCCGAAATGAATTTTCCTTCTGCAATTTCATTCTTAAGCGAGCCAATTAAGTTTTTTTTTCATCACTAGTTTTATCTTATACTTTTTTATTATGACAAATAGGGGGAGAAAGCATAATGATGATTTTGATGCATACCTAATTCTCTAAATCTCATTGCTTACATTTCTAACGAATTATATATGCAGAGTTTTTAGAATATGTTTTTAGGTACATTTAGAATAAAGATATATAAACAAAGAACTTCTAAAGTCTAGAAGGTTCAAACAAATCAAGTTGCGATAAAGAACTTCTAATGACTAGAAGGGTTTATTGACCAAACTCTGATAAAAAAATTCTAGGTATAGAATGTTCTAGTAGATTGAGTGTTGATAACGAACTTCAAACATTTAGAAGGGTCTGATAGATCAAGATATGATGACGAACCTCTCTGATGAATAGAAGATTCTAATGAAGAAAGAAATTCTAATAAAGCAAACTCTGATAAATCGCTTCCATTCGCTTCAATCAGAATTCTGATAACCAAGCTCAAAAAACCCTACTTTTTGATAAGGTCTTAAGTTTTAGATTCAGGGGGAGTTTTTTAAACAATGCTCATATATTCCTTCCTTCTAAAAACTGTAAGTTTTAGACTCAGGGAGAGCTAATCCAGGGAAGTTTTCTTCTTAACTCTAATTCGATTATTATATTACCTTGTAAAATTGTTACATTAAAATACATAGTTTTGTCATCATAAAAAAGGGGGAGATTGTTAGAACAAGATTTAGATTCTGCAATTAATCTCTAAAATTTTAATGATAACAATACATATATTTTATATGTAAATAAATTTGTTTCTAATAGTATCTTGAGTGTGCGAATTAGAAGTTCTAATTGATTCAGGACTATTGTTTGAAGAATCATCAGAAATATACAAAGCACGCATCAGAAAGACTATTGCATCTGCTTCTGAAGAAACGTCAGTAATTTTGAAAGAATGCTGAATGTTCGCCAGAAAGAGGATCTCAACGTGTACTTCTCAATAAGTTGCTACTTCAGAAGTCACAAGTATTCTAGAAGAAAAGATTTCTGCTAGAGCTTCTGCTCCAAGATCCAAAAAAAAAAATTTGCACAAGAGATAAGCTTTTGTGTCAAAGATCAGAAGTCAAGATTTGTTCGTCAGAAAAGTTGTTGCTTCTAATTTTGAAGACAAAGTTAAGATTCTGAACACGTCAAAGAAAAACTTCTACTTCCGAATTAGAAGTCAAGATTTGTTCATCAAAAAAACTGTTGCTTCTAATTCTGAAGAAAAAGTCAAGATTCTGAAGACTCGGATACTTCGTGGAATATGCGCACATTACTTCACATAAGAAGCATTCCACCAGAAGACAAGATCAAGGAAAGTTAGATCTTTTGGACTCATTATTATTCTAATCATATAGTCCATCAAAAGACAAGATTAAAAGATGATACATTCTCAAGCCAATCTACTTCATCATAAGTAATATTCATCAGAAGACAGTATCGTAAAAAATGTACGCAAGAAAAGTTAGTACAGTAGTTCAATTACACATTCCATTTAAGTAGATGTATTGTGAACTATTTGTCTCCCACAATCGTTTCTTGCCGTTACGACAACTGACAATGAAAGTGACGTGTGTACTACTACAACAGTCTACTTCTTCAACGCCTATAAAAAGGTTTAAGCAATTCATTTGCAAATTGATGAAACATACAAGACTGAAGAACAAGAACAGTAACGCTGTCAAAACAAGAAAAAAAAAGGATCAAAACACAAGAGTTGTTGCTCATAATTGTGTTGATATTATTGTTTGTTAGAACATAAGAGTTGTTGCTCATTATTGTGTTACTATTGTAATTTGTTTGAACACAAGAATTGTTACTCATATTTGTGTTAAATAATTTGTACTTAAACTTTTTGTGTAATCCACTTGTAAGAAGCAATATTGTAAACACATTATTCAATTGTTGTTGATTGTTCCTTGAGTAACCGAGTAGGTCAGAATACTCAAGAAGATTTAGAAAAATCTCCTTCAAGGGACCGGGTAGGTCATAAGCCTTAAAGAGTCAGTGATCGTTATATCTCTTAGGAGACCGTGTAGGTCAAAATTCTTAAGGGATCACTAACAGATTATCATTGTTTTTGTTAGTCACCAGCGGGTAGCCCGTGCATTTTTAATCTTTCAAGATTAGTGGATTAAGTCATTTTCTAAGGTGAAACACCTTGGCGGGTGGGCATGATTAGTCTTTTCTAAGGTGAACCTGTATAAACTGAAAGTGTCATTATTTCTCTCTATAACATTGATTCTAATTCTGATTGTTTGTGTAAAACACTTCTAAACGAAAAAGTTTTTAAAACCCAATTCAATCCCCTCCCCCCCCCCCCCCCCCCCTATTTTTTATGTTTTTCTCAACCTTCAATAGTGAACATTTGAGCCATCTTGAAAGCTTACACAAACCACAAACTTGTTACCAACACAAGAGAAATTGTAATAAACTAAATTAAGCTTGCATTGATTTACATGTATAACCAACATACATGCTTGAATGAAAAATCAAGGAAACATGGTTCAAATATGCAATACATCCAATTGTGGATTAACAAAGTAAATGATAAAAGGTAAATTGCAACCAAGAGCTTCATGAAAATTTCTCAAACAATCCCAAACTCATTTCGATTAAGGGACAAAAGCTTCAACTCATGAAAGAAGAAGAAGAAGTGGAAATGGATTTTCATGAACCCAAACATGTTAAAAATGCTTCTCATATCCTCAAAAGTAACATTTCGTTCATTTAAACCAACAACAACACATGGTATGGACTTAAATTGGCACTTAAAATATATTCAAAACATGAGAAACAAGATTAGAACCAAGCCTTGTTCAACTAGATTGAAAACCGGACAATAATTAAGCATGCATCATTATGCCCCAAAAATCAATTTAAAACAAGTTGAAACCAAATAGAAGAATCTCACAATTAATACCAAGTTTATTCACTTAAATTCAACTTGAATGAATAACAAAAATCATCAACATCCCTTGAATTAATTAAGTGACACGGTATCGACATCGAACCTCACATAGATAAAACAAGTAACATGGTATTGATACAAAAAATGCACTCGAATTTAACACATATGACGCGTAAAGCATGACATCGACATCACAAATTACTTGAATTTAACATGAACAACACAAAGATCGTGGTATCGATAACAAAACTCATTCAAATCGGTTCAAGTGACATGATAATATTTGATTCATCACAAATGACATACCAAAAATTAATGTTTCAACTCAAGTAGTCCACAACAACAACTTCATCATCATATCATCAAAGCTTCACTTAATTTCAAAGTTCTATTACCAACCAAGAACAACCATCATCTTCAACACTAATTCAATTATGTCATTATCATCTTAAATTAATTATTTCAACCTCAAAAACACAACAATGTCATCAACTCTACACTAAAATTTAACACATATAGCATGTTATCGACACCAAAAATATCATTCAAGATCTAAACACTATAACACAAATAATGTCATTAACACCTCACCACTCATTTTAACACCAACATAACAAAATTCTCAATACAAATTCATCATTTCCAATTGACAAAATCCATCCCAATATTATCAACACTTTACGATTGACAAAAATAAGTCCCAAAACTAACAACAATTCATCACTTACAATTGTCAAAAATAGCCCCAAAACTACACAACAAAAAGTGTTAGAAAAGGATTATGGAGCTTACCAAATTGACCAAAAATGGAGGAATATGTGTTGGTGTTGTTGGTGAAGAAGATGATGAATAGTAATTGTTGGGAGGTGTTGATGAAATTGTCACGGTGAGGTGTGTTGTTCACGGTGGGTTGGTGATGGGGCGGTGACCGTGAGGTGATGGTGGTCTGAGGTGGATGTTGAGCGAAAGAGGAAAGGAGTAAGGGTGGAGGAAAGGAAACGAAAGTGAAGAGCCGAGGGAGTTCGTGGATTGTGGTTGCGGAAATGGGTTGACGAGGTGATGCGTAGCGCGGACGGGCTAACGGAAGGAGTAGTGGGTCGGGAGTGTTGCGAAGACAGTCGGAGGAAGGGTGTTCGCGTGAGGGAGGCGGACGGGAGAGCTGGGTTGAAGTTTGAACAGAAGAGGGTGAGTTTTGGTGCCTCTGGGTTTCGTTTGTATTCTGATATCTCTTTTCCTTTCGCAATCTGCTGCTCACCACCTTCTCTCATATCTCTTATCCATTTCTTTATACCACACTTTTAAAGTTTTCAATTTTTTAAATGCCCAAAACATCCTTTTTGTTAAAAATAACATAAAAATTTTAAAAAATAAAAATAAATTCATTCAAAAATATTTATGTTTTAATTTTTTTTTTAAATAAAAAAAGACATTTAAAATAATCAAAAACAATAAAAATGAACACTTAATTGAATTGAAAAAAAGAAATGAACACACTAAAATAAATTATATGTCACAAATTTTAATAAAAATGAGTGTAAAATGATCAAAATCAGAAATATAAATAAAATAGAAATATCCAGTTGAACAGATGTTGACAATTAAAAAAGAGACTGCAAACTGCACCGAAAAAATAAAGCGAGCATACCAACATGATTTACGCGCATCGTAGATTCATAAAATAGTCAATTAAAGATGAAAACTCAAAATATTTTACCTGTTAATTTTCTGCACAATGTCGAATCACTTTTAACAATCTGCCTGTAGAATCGAAATATCAAAATTATTTTAATATAATCAACTTAGCGCAATGCATGAAACAACGTAAAGAGATAAAAATGCATGAAGTGAGATATCATGTATTTTTTTAACTTTAAAACGATGCAAATGTTGATTTAAGTTGACTTTTGGTCAACCTAAATGCATGAATGACCGACTAATGATGCAAATGTGATGAATGAATGACCCTGGGACAAAAATTGGGATATGACAGATATCTTTTCTAAATATGTTCTAAATGCATTCTAAGATCCGTAATGCAAAGGTGCACCTAAAAACTCAAATATATCGTTCAATATATAAAAATTCTAAGGTTATTCTAGTTTTGCCATCATGCAAAGCATCTAATGGGCAAGTGCACTCACATACTCACCTTTTTTTATGATGGAAAAACTTGCGATGATGGATTTTATGTCTTCATGAAGGCTCCCCTGAATATGTGCATCCTAACTTCATCTCCGCATAAGTTTCTCCCTCTTTGACAATATCAAAAAGAAAAAAAGCAATCCATGAGAAGTATCATATATCATACAAATACTAATATACCACACAGAGATGTTTTGCAAAAAGTAAGAACATGTGCTCAAATATACCCATATATATGGAATGACACAAAATTAAACATAAATAATGGGTAATACACATCACCATGAAAACAAATACAAAGGCATGAAAGATGATGAATGCAATTGGTGAGAACAAGGTATATTTCTGAGTTACCCTATTGAGAGAGGTACTTTTGGTGATGTTTTCAGGACCAGAATCAGTGATGTGTTCATTTAAAGGAATTGATGTTCAACTAGATGTTGGAACATTATTTCAGCAGTTTGATACTCTAGAGATTGAAGAAGATTTCAAAAGACTAGGTGGCACTGAATATGAAAGTTCTCAAGAAAACAAATTGTTTAAGAGGGAGCTCATTATTTGGAGGTTATTTTAGTCTATGATCATTAGTTATTTCAGAAATGAAATAGATAGTGATGGTGATTCTTGGAGTAAAAATCTATTGGTCAAGTCTGAGGAAGATTGTATCATTAGAGAATATTCTTATCTCTGAGATTAGAATTAATTGAGTATTGGTATGTCTTATAGATTAGGTACATTGTTGAAGAAAGATGTTTTCTATATTGGGTTAGTTACTAAAAGGATACAATGTCTAAGTGGATGTCATGACATTGTAATGTAACATTTTAATGCAATTAAGGTACAAGGATTTTATTCTACTTATAGAGCAAAGTCATTGGGTATGTCATCATTATGTCAAGGTACTTGCTACAGAATATTGGGACTCTCAAGCTTGGTTTGGCTAAGGAGCTTTGGGAAGGATTTTATCATAACTTGAGGTGCAAGTCATTTTGATTATACAAGGGGTACTTTTGGAATTGCACTCTGGAAGAATTTTTGGTAGTAACTGCTTGGTCGGTGTTGCCAACTATATTCCTTCTTGTGTTATGTGCAATCTAAGAAGAAACAGTTTCCATGAATGCCATTTCAAATGTTGTAACATTTTCAACAGTCAAAGTCTTGAAAAGAGAAAAGTTTAAACAAGGGCGTGTCTCTCTCTTATTAAATGGTACATTGTTACTAAAGAAGATTTTATCTCCTTCTAGTAACACTTTCATTGAATGATTTATTGTTACAAGCAAGGTTTTCGTTACAATCAAAGTAACTCATCTTGTATTTATATGCTTTCATTCCTCTTCTTTCTCATATATTATGTTTCAACATGAGTAACTCTTCCAAAGATACTGGTGCCAAGAAGGTTTATTTGCTGGAATCCAACAAGGATAAGAGAAGTGATCCAAAGAAGTTTGGGATCAACATTGCAACAAATGTTGGAACATCAACTAGAGCATCCTGGACAGGGAGAACATCTGTGACAGAGATGAAATCCTTGAAAAAGAATCAGGTTCATATACATGATTCTGATTCATATGTTTATAAAGACTGATGTTGTACCCCCAAAATTTGCTCTCCTATTTTCAAGACAAATTAATTCAAGACACATCCTCATGCTCATGAAGGTCTCAATTGCTCAAGACTTATCAAAGATTGATCAGACGGACTCTCCTCCTAAGCAATTGACCTATAACTAGGGTTTTGTTTCTCTCAAAGGAAATTGAGTTTCTAATACCTCAAACGAACTTCATGGTTTCTCATATGTCTCAAAGTATCCTCATGCCAAATTTCAAACCTTACATCACAAGTTTGCTCAATCAATTAGTCAAATGATTGAAAATCAGTTGTATTGAATAAAAAGTCAACTTTGACCAATTGACAGTTAAATTTCAACATTTTTGGTCAACATCAAGATTTTGAAGTCACATTCATCATTTGATCAAGGTTTGATCATGATTCATCAATAAAACTCAATATTCATCAAAAGTTACTAAATTAGGGTTTTCTTAAGAAGAAGTCAACTGAACTTTGACCAAGCACAACTTTCACATACTTTATCAGAAATTTCTCAACCAAAGCTCATTTTTAAGGAAATTAAATTTTCTACAACTTTGTCTCTCTAAGCTCAAGGCCAAAAATTCTTCATTTGAGAGATATGAGCCAAAACATTACAGATCATTTTAAAAGTCAACAAAAAGACATTTTTTGTCAAAGCAATTTACATAAAGATAAAGGCTTCATATGAAAAAATGACCAACATGAAAGCTGTAAGAGACATCTTGTGGTTTCCAAAAACTCCAAGATCATCTTCATATGACAAAAATTGAGAGAGTTATGATTGGTGCAAATTGAGCAATTTTGAGAAAATGCATGAAGTTCAAATTGAGCAAACTTGAGTTTTTTTGGCTAATGGGTCTAAGTTTTTAGGTTCAAACGTGTTCATGACCTCATATTAGACCTCTAAATCTATTCATATATCTTTATGATTTTTATTTCTTTTTATTTTGATTTTATTCAATTAAATTCAAAATAAATCAAATAAAATACAAAACTAATGGATTAAGGCACGAGGCTTTTGTTTTGGATCAGATTTGAAGCCCAAAAAGCTCACAACCAGTTAGCAAAAATGCGTAAGGATGATTGGCATAAGATTGAGCTTAAAAAAGAAACTTTTCATGCAAAATTCAAATCAAATATCTTCATCATGAAATACAAAGATTCATCTCACTTTTGTTGACCTAATTCTTCCACTATAAATACACAAAAATTTCAGATGGCAAGGAACACGAAGGCTGCCTCAAGAACAAACCCTAAAAAATCTTAAATATCTCAAAACTAGGGCAACTCGAAACCCTTATCTCCAGCCTGTATCAATCCATTTCAAGCATTCCATCAGCCTCCTGAGACCTCCAGGAGTCGTTCACAACCATTACTCAAGCTTGAAGCACGCCAGAACTCTCTCCCTCGACTGTACCAGTTTGGTAACCTTCTTGAATTTTAAACTTTTAATTCATGCAATTTAAATGAATTTGACGCATACATTCATGTTCATATTGATGTGTGGAACTGTTTTGACGTATTACTTGTGAGGTTTGACGCAGGAATAGAGATCTGCCATTGTTAGGGCAGTTTGAAAGATTTTCTTTGAAACTCACTCTACAAGCACTTTCAGATCAAACCAATGCTACCATTGGATTGACATGGGTAAAATTAGGGGGATAGGGTTCATCTTGTGTTTCCATTTTGCATGATTCACATGTTCTCAAAATCTCCTCACCGGAGAAGATGAAGTTGACCATCCTTCACGGTGGTTTTACCCTCTTAACTCAGGTGACCTATGCGTGGTGTTCTCCCATTGGTCAACTCAAAACCCCAGACCCCACTAACACGTGCGCATTTAATTTTGTTTAATTTCTTATTTTCTGAATTAAGTTTATTATATATTGAATGATAATGGTAATATAAACGCGAAACACATATGGCGTAGTGGTGAGTGATACGTTGGTTATGGTAAAGGGCGTGGATTCGAGCCAACCTCTTGTCAAATTTCTTTTGTTTTTCCAAGACAATACACAGGTTCATCATATGGTGATTGGTTCTCATTCCATCTCACAAACAACACTATGGCACAGTGGTAGGAGGGCATTCTTTGAGATGAGGGCGTGGGTTCAACTCACACCCCATGCATTTTGCTTTTTTCTTATTTTACTAACCCTAATTCTTATTCCATTTTCTTAATTAATCTATTTTCCAATTAACCATTAACAAACCTTAAATTTTTTTCAAAACTATAACAAATTAGGATTAGAGTTTTCTAGTTAGTAATTAATTTTTCACATATTTTTATTTATTAATTACTTAAGTTAATTAGCATTTTCTTAAATATTAAAATTAATTAGAAATAATTAGGTTTTTATTAATTATTAACTTAAATTATTTTCTACAAAAAATATCTTTTCTAACAAATAGAATTTTTAGGGCGTTTAACATTTTTTTAACATTTTTTTCTCATCTCTTGCTATTTAAATTCCTAGAACAAGTGTATAGGTCATACTCTCAATTGTAATAGCATAGATTTACATTCTTGCATTTT